TTTTAATCACAGATTTTGGAGGTTTTATCAGAGAATTTGCGATTTTTTTTTATCAGGAAAACCAGGATCTCTGTTTATGATTCTATTTTTCATTGTCATTCATAAATATCTTTGGAAAATCAACTAGTATGTGAGTACACTTGCCAGTATATGTATTAATAAATGATTTTGCACAGTCATCCCTTCCAACAGTAACTACCATTTTCTCATCTGCACACTTCTTGCAATTATGTGTAAATCCCATGGGTTTTGACTACTGTGCTGTATTGTATTTATTTCACACAGGTATATAATATACAGTTCGTGTTTTACCTGCTCAGGGGCTGCAGTTGTCACTAAAATCAGAAAGAAAAAGAAAAGAAAAGGAACCAATTAGTTTACATAGAAATAATATGTCAAAACATGTCACTTTAATGCATACTGTTACTTTTATGAATTCCAGGCCTTAAAACCAAAAACCTATACAGTTGTTAGCAGAATTAAACCCATGTTTTACAATTCTGAGTCTGAATCTGATGTCCCAATGGTATTAATAAGAAGTATCTTTGTTGAAATCAATGGCTTTACCCTGAAACCAGAATCTGGCACACTGTACCAAGCAATACTGTTGCATGCCTCTTTATATCCCTTGCAATTTTTAGCTCCAGAGCAGGTTCTTTTATTATTTTCCTAAAAGCTGTTAGAGCTACTAATAAATTCATGTATACCTCCAAATTAAACAACCATAGATTTTGCGGGTTTTGTTTTGAAGATGTTGCCAACTTTTTTAAAAATCTAGTCTTCTGAATTATAGAACAAGGGAGGATGAAAGACTCACATTAAATATAGTAATAAACATATGCAACTTCAGAATTTGGTCCAAGGAATCCCTGGGAATAAACAATACATGCCAAATGGTCCAAAATTGGCTGGTATAATCAGTATAGCTTCACCAATGTCAGTAGAGCTACACTGAATTACATCAGTTGATAATCTGGCTGAGTACCTCATATGATAGGGGTGAATCTTCCTTCCTCCCTCTCTCCCTCCCTTCCGCCATCCCTCCCTTCCTTCCTTAATATAACACTGTTTCATTCTGCTATGATAATGAATCAGACTGAAGACCCCATATACCAAAACTGCTGTTTGAAATTAAAATAATATGGACTCAAAAACATCAGAGCACTCCTCAGAATCATATTTTTGCCAGCCTGTATTCTGTTCACCAGTAGTGTGTTGGCAATGCATTCATTTTTGCACATGCTGCAGGCTTTCTGTATTTCTTTGCTTCTGTGTTCATATTAAGCATGTTAAGAGTAAGGTGCTTGTAGCCACTAATGATTCTTAGAAGAGTTTGCAGAAACCCATGCAAAGACCAAGAAAAACTTACAGAAAAAAAATTCAGATAGGCCTTAGTGTAAGAAATAAAACAGTGAAGAGCCTTGTCATACTCCAGAGATGCCTAATACTTTATAGTGCCAATGACAGGTGGCTGTAGTCTAACAGTGATTCTTATAGTAGAACAAAAGTTTTCTGTTTCAATTATTCACAAAAACAAGTCCAAACTATTTTTTTTCTCTCTGTGTAGATATTTTAGTGTCTGACAGGAGCTTTTCAACAGCAAAACCTAAAAAACCAACATCCTATGACATAATGTATCCGGTTATATGGAATGGTACATTATTAAGAAACAGCAATATAAAAACAGAATAGGCACTACACACAAACTTTAGAAAAAAGGTATCTAAAAAGAAATACATGCACAAAAATATAGAGAAACTAAACTACAGTTCCAAGGTCCTTTTCCATTCTCACCTTCTTGCACAGCCACCTCAGGCTCACTTTTCTGTGAGAAGCTCAGTGCCTCCACTGGCTCTTCCTTTGCTGGGAGAGGTGGAGGAGAAGTACCTTTAGCAACAGGCTGAGTAATCTGGGTCTTGCCAATGACAGGTGGCTGTACTCTAACTGCAGGGTGATGATATAGCTTGTTTCTGTGAGAGCCAGAAACCGTATAACCCATTCCACCAGGGCAGATATCCTTAAAAGCAGCTAGATGTGGGATGGGAAAATATTCCTTTTAGGTGTCTAAAAGTGCAATTGTTTGACACAGTGGAAAATAAACAAACACTGCTAACAAATCAAACCTGCTACTATACGAACATGTTCATAACAAAGTATTTTATATTTAGAGAAAAAACACGGACTGCATGCTAATATTACTGAACATCTCTGAAAAAATACTTTAGGACTTAATTCAGTCCTCTGTAAGAGGATTTTACTCTGGTTCCTTCAGCTATGTTAAATACACCACCACATCCATTTTTTATTCGTCTAATTTGAACAATATATTATTTCTAAGTGAGAATGGTAGGACTCTTCCCCACAAATTGCCATTGTTTACACTTCATAAATAACAGATTAACTATTTCTATAATTGCCTATTTGCAGTTACTAGATAATAAAGCAGTTTATTACCACTGTACTAGAGATATCATGCTAAAAATCTAGATTTATCAGGTTAATTCATGAAATCTTAATTAACACAAAAAATAACTAAGATTGTTCATTTGGTATTTTTAACAGCATTACTTGAAAGTGTGCTAAAACAGGATTGATATATAATCAGATCATTCATCAGACAGAAAAGCAATTTAAAGCTAGCAGTCCCTATTCTGACCCTGGGTGACATCCTAGGTCCTGTGGTTTGGGCAGATAGCAGATGAAGAACTATGCCTCTGTGATCAGTCTCCTCAAATACAACCGATTCCTATGCTAAACTTGAAAGCTCAGCAGACCAAAAGTAGTCCAGTGAAGGCCTCATTAATACCTTTGCTCTTAAAACAGCTATGTTTATACGGCAGAATAGAATATTATCTTAGTTATATTTTTTTGAATTTTGAAAAGCTGTTATTTCTGTAATATTTCAGAGGACAATATTTTGTCCCTGTTATTTCCGTTTGAATCAGGACAATGGGTTCGTTTTAAATTTAAATGAGGCTGCTTACATTTGTACATTTAAACTAAAGCCAGTACTGTAAGATGACACAGATACAATGTATCTGGAGACCTTCTGGGGAATTCTTACTTGTAGAAATAATTTGATTTTTTTTTTAAATATATCAATTCTGATGTTGTCATTTATTTGTTAAAAACCTGTCATATTTTTCTTTAATTCATTATTTAACATTATACTTGTGTTAACAAATTTAGATTAACATGGCTAACTGCCTCTCTTTACTTATGTTTATATGGTGGACAAGGTGTATAAGAAGAAATGTAAGGGTCTTGGCCCCTCCATGTGAGTAATATATTTCATCATGGTTTCTCAAGAACTTTGTAACGAAGTTCAGCTAGTGAAAAGCATCATAGGTTCAGCAATATTACTTTTGAGCAGCTGAAGATTTGCCCTGCATCTTAAAAAACTTACAGGTGGGACAGGGGGACATTCTCACTGGAATTTCAGCACATCATTAAACTGTTTGGAGCCAGTAACTCTATAAAACCTTGCTCAATTTTTCATTTTTCATTTAAATGTGACCCTCCCAGATCTTTTGCACAGCGTGCACATAATCAGAGGGGGGAGGGATGGTTTCATTCTGATTTGAGTATTTTTTTTGTAAATGCTAATCTATTATAATCAAGCTTTATTTCACTTAACAAGGATTTAATAGACATGACAGGCCCAAGCTTAAGAGCCAGTTGCTGACACTGAGTTTGTAGTCAGTTGCAGATGCAATTTTGTAGGGATGAATGTTATCATTTAAAAATCTAGTTAACTGCCTGAAGTCGTATCAGGTAGCTTAATATCTATATTGCCTCACCTGTGGGTCTAATTACCTAGAGGTACAAAATTGGAGGTCAGGTTAAATTTAGCTTCTTCAAAAAGGAGGCTTCTATATGCGTTTGTTACTTCTAAAATGGTCATGTACAGAATTGCTATTTAATTTCCTATTAGAACATTAAAATAAGTGCCTGAAATGACAGTAAAAAAACTGGGCAAAGAAATTCCACAAATTTTGTACCTTGTTTTTGCAATGAGTACAGACAGAATTTTAGTGGTGCAAAAATGGCACTGCTAAATCCAACTTCCATTAAAGTTGATGCTAAAATTCTCATTGATTTCAGTGGGCTTGGGGATAAAGCTGGTTGGGAATTTTCTTCTGAAATATTTTCTTGTTGAAAAATGGCAATGCTGAAGATTTTAACAGGACAGTCAGAAAAGATGTCTTGAATCCAGAGTGGAATTTCTGGTCACAGTTGAGAAAGAAAGCAGAAGCAAGACATCCATCCATGCCATAACAGCCTGTGGGTTAAAGCACTCGCATGGGATATAGAAAACCTCTGGCAGAATGAGAACCTAACTTAGCATTTTGTGTGGGGTAACTGGCAAAGGAATATGACAGGATCAGCTAGCTTACTGCCCTGCTAATTAGACTGCTGCATGGCTTAGGAGGCAGCCCACATGAAACAGGTCTGCACACTTAAATGTACTGCTGCCAGGCACAGGAAGTTTGCTATGTAGACATGACCAATACCTCAAAAGCTCCCATCTTTTTGCCTGTGCCTTTCACAGAAAAAGCAGTAAGTGCACTTTGGTTTAATGTAAACATAATCACATGACAGTGACAGTGTATGCTAAATTCCTCCATATGTAACAGAAATTAAACATTTAAAATTGCACGCTTTGGGGTGAGACTATTTGCTAAAGCCTATCACGTCATAAGGAAAATTCCATCCTCATTATGAAAGCGTATTTATCAGGACAACAACAGAAGATACATTTAACTGTTCTACTAACATTTACAAAACCAGAATGAGTCCATAAGACCAAAAAAGAAATTGTTGGATGTGAGAAAAGATGTGTAACATATACAGAGTGTGGGCATGTGTATGTGTTTTCTGGGCACCTCTTACCTGTTCCTGGAAGGGGACATTTCTCACAGTGTGGGCCCCAGGCCTTGCCAACACTGCAACAGCAGAGCTGCTTGCTGAGCTGAACAGAGAGAGGGTGCATGCACTGCTTTCCTGCACTGACAAACCGGTAACAGGGCCCTTTCTCTTCAGAGACCAAAGGATTATCAGCTGCAGCAAAAAGGGAAGGAGGATGCTAGAGTTTACATGAGAAACACCACAGGAGTTCCATGACCAGCTAAAGATTGATATTGCTGTTTGGCAACATTTAAAAAAAATGCCTATGCCTCTCAATACTCTGGACACAAAGAGAACTTCTTATTTGGCATCAAAGCATTTGAATTCAAACTAGCACTACACAAAAGATAAAACTGTATTTTAGAATACAAGCTGATGTCCAAACCAGAAGCTGCCATGCTTCAGCGACATAGAATTAGAGACAGCTCTCTTTCCCATGCACGAGCGCTGTAGCATAAGCTTAAAGCAGGTGAACAGGTATACAAAACTTTGACAGGCTACAGATAGTCATTATACAGTCTTGTAAGTCTGAGTGTTGTACGTAAACAGGACTGCAAAAGGACGACTTTGAGCATTAAGGGGCTTTTTCTTAACTGGACATGACAATTATATCTACTAGTAAATTGCCCATCAAGAATGACGGCGGGGACAGAGGAGGATAATGGGTGGGGACAGGGAGGGGGAAACTTGTTAACCCTAACCTCCCCCCCCCCATGCCGCTGCTGCCTCCCAGGAGTCGGCGAAGCTTGTCCTGCCATTCCCTCGGCTCCCCTCTGCCAGCACCCCACACCGCCACCACCTCCAAAGAGCAGCGCTGGGGTGGGGTGGCGTCTCCTGCTCTGTCCCCTCCGTCACGGTGGCACTCCACCACGCTGCCGCCTCCTGTCTGTAACGCCCTTGGAGAACTCTGATTGGTTGTTTCAGTAACCTATTACACATTTCAGTAACCCTTGCCACATTTAATACATTTTTAATGGCTGATGGTTGGGTATTTCTAGGGAACAAAGATATTTTTCAGTTAAAACGGCTAAGGAAATGGAACCATATCAGATAACCTCAGTTTGTTTCATGGTCAGACTCTTTCTTCCTCTTCTCTTCCTTGTCCCCAACTTTCATATGATATAATAGCCCACAGATTTAAAAATCTTTTGGTGCAAGAATCAGTAATGCTTAACAGATTTTTGATCACTACATATACAAAGGGCCTAGTGTGGAGGTGTTGGGAGGCTGATATCTATTCAACCTTATTATTTCCACAAAAATAACCTTATAGTTTTGGGTAAGATTTAGTTAAATCAAAAAAAAAAAGGGCAAAGAATTTCAGGAATGTGGACATTGATGTGAAAGCATATATAACAAAGGATTATAATGTAATTATTTCTGTTTTCTTTTTGAAAGTGGAAAAGGATCTTCAAAACTATTAAAAACTTGTTCAGTACTTGGTCATCAACAGCCAGCAACAGAAAACAGTGATTTAAAAACTCAGAGTTGATATGCAATACAATAGCCAGGGCTACACTGGACGTTCTAAAGCCACAACTCAACTATAAAAAGTGAAGGTACGGAGGGTGAGTTTTTTATTTGTAATATATGTATATTTTCCACTAGTTTTTTACATGAGAAAGTTACTTTCTTTAATGTTTTATTTTCTGCAAGATATTATGATAGGTTTATGACATCAGAAATACGAATCACATAAAACCTAACTAAGAGGGGAAATCATATGCTCTCAGGTGCTTACAACATTTTCATTTTGTTAATACATATTTAAGAAACTCTTGGAATCAAAAATGTTTTTGTTAAAGATTTAGCACAATTAATTAGAAACAAACATTTAATCACGTGATTACTTCAGTTGGTATTCAACTGAACAACACTAATATACACGACAATGCTTATGCAGTCCCACACTGCCATGCGTCTTTATATATACAGATTTATTGCATGGAAATGACATATAACCTTAACTTTCAGTAGTCCAAATAACTGAGGTTTCCTCTGTATCTAAAGTACTAAGTTTTTACTCATGTCAACCACAGAAGAACAGAAAGAATAAAACTCATGAAACATGGTCCCCGTAATAGAAATTAAATATACAGATAGTTTTAAGAATAACTACTGTAATACTTTTGCATTGTTGCATTTCTAGCAGCTTTATTTCACAAAGCCCAGCCTCTGTTCCCCACCCCCCAGATGTTACATGTGCCATGGGATATATGAGAGTTTCCAACAACAAATGATAACATGCCAGGCATTCAATGAATTTCTCCTGAGATAAAATGGCTGATCCACCATGAAAGAAACAGATCTGCAACAAAACAGTTTCTGTTTAAACAGCAACTTATTTGTCAAGTTGAGAGAAATTTAATTTAGCCAGGTAGTAAGTATCTGCATTTCAGATTGTGTTTCAGTAGGATATGCATTTAATGTTGTATGTATTTTTACAGATGTCTCTGTTTTCTTGATTGTACCACAATACTTATGTCTAGTTCCAAACCCAGTTGGTCAGCATCTAAATTTGCTGTATCAGCAATGAATATTGTTAGATGTACACGTACTTTGTCCCTGATAACATCAATGCAATCCCATTTACTCCTTTTCTCCTCCATCTCAAGATGGTAAGCTGATCGTGATGCCATCGAAAGTGATGCTATCACAGTATGGGTACATATACCCAGAACTAAAGGTAGGAAGGTTGTAAGGCCTAAACTCTGTGATTACAGCAATTAGTCCTGATATAACAGCTGACTAACAGCCAGATCTGTATATACCAGAATTCTAATTCTAGCTGCTAGTATCATAATACTATCAGTTACTAATCATTGTTCCTTATTTTCTTATTCTTCTGTCCTGATCAGTATCATTCAGCTTTCAATTCAGTATTGTGCTGTTTACTCTCTTGTCAAGACCCTAAATGACAATGTTAACTGATGGATCTATGCAGCATTGTATTGGACACCACTCCCAACTCAATACATTGGGATTTATCATTAAAAAATGGGATGGAAAGAAGTCCTAAGAATTCAAGCTGTCAGACTGGATTATTTGAATAGCTTTTTCCAGCTCTGCTATTCATAAATCTATGAGCTTCTCTCCAAAAGTAAGATTTCATTATATAATGAACTGGAAAGTTTTATCCACAAATACTGCTGTGGTACTAGAAGCAGATGGCAGCTGCTCTAAATCATAGGGAAAGAGAGCCTTACAGTGAGGGAATGCCTTAAAATCTGACTTTATATGACCTCTTAAAATATTAATTCAAACTGATGGATACTTGCATAAAAAAAAAATCTTACAAGTATTCCACCCACAAATTGTTAGATAAGTCAGGAAAATGACTAACTTGAAGGGTATGTCTACACTGCAATCACAGAAGTGACTGAAGCACAGTACAGAGATACTCTAAATAGCTTTAATCTAGCTAGTTTTATTCAAGAAGCAGGATACATAGCCCACATGAACTCAGTGCTGCCACAGTTAGACTGCAACCAGAACCCAAGTTATCTAGTTTAAAGCTGGCTTCAATACCTACACTATACTATGGTCACCTCCATGACTAATGTAGCAATACCTTATGTGCAATGGTATCCAACAGTCAATGGTTAAACAAACATAGTGGGCATGTCCAGATGAGCAAACGTGCATCTTCCTAGGGACAAATAGCAGCAGCACATATCAGAACTGCTACTTGTCCCTGGGAACGCCTTTGCATGTGTGTTCTGGCATGTGGCAAGTTGCCTCAGGTTGGGTAGGGAATGCTGGGGCCAGCATTTGGACTGGCCCCAACAGCCTTACCTGGAGTCCTGGGGACTTCCCAGGGTTCCAGTGGTGACAGAAGGGAGCCTGGCTAGCAGCTGGAGTACGGCTCTGGCTGGCCAGGCTCCAGTTGCAGGTGGTGCATGCTGCTGCCATTTGTGCCTCCCTGTTTTCTAGTGCAGGTTTTTTTGACACCAGGATTTCCAGTGCAAATCAGCACTGCAGGGAATGCCTGCATGTGTAGCATGTGCAGTACCAAAGATGGGTTTGCGGTGCTGCATACTGCAGATGCTCGCTCATCTGAACACACCCAGTAAGTCCGTCCTACAACTGTTTTTTTTCC